AGTCAACACGCGTCGGCATGGGAACTCTCGTTATGCCCGCAGACAACTTAAAGGTGAACATTTTTCCTCTAGGCGATGATCGGAACGGAAACGTGGTGAGCTTGAAAAGTTTCAGCTAAACGGAGATTCAAGACCCATGCTCCAATTCACGGCGGGCGAGGCCCCCCGGTTTTATGATGACTCTGAAAGTCGGGGGGACGGAGAAACCACGATCACGTCGTGTCACCGGGAGCAGAAGTTAACTCTGAGCAAGTGCGGGGTTCAGAAAACCCACGGCCCTTTCACGAAATAATCGCAGTCATTCAGGATTTCTACACGGGTCCAGGGGAGAGTAAATACAGAGGGGGGAAGCCCACAGCACCCACATTTCCGATCTCCTCGGCTCCTTAAACTGAGCCGAGCCAGAGACCCAGCAACACGCTGCGTTACGCAAAGCGCATACATAACCACCGGTGTGCACTCAGGCGCTGAAATGGCCGGTTATTAAGCCGGCGAGCGAGGGAAAACGACGCCCTGAGACAGTAGGGAGCAGACTTTTGCAGCTGTGGCTAAAGCCGGCACACACCTCTAGGGATGAAGAGGAGGAAAAGTTGAACTAGTCGCCCACTGCGGTCCGCGCCGCCCCGGCCCAGGCGAGAGGACCCGGCGCACTTTCCCTGCCACCCCAAGCGACACTTTCCTGCGGGGAGGCCTCTCGGGGAGCCTTCCCAGCGCGGACAAACTCACTTGAAGACGTGCTCCGACGTCCAGATCTTCATCCTCGGGCCGAGCGACAGCGTGTGTAACAGACTCCGGGACGTCTCCGCCGCCGCCGCCGCCGCCAGCAGTGTGCGCTGTCAATGTGACCGCCAGGCCGGCAGCGCTCAGACGGAAAGATCTAGTCAGTCACATGACCGGCGAGCGCACTTCCGGGGACACCGGATATTGCCTTGACAGACCCCCCGCCCGCCGGGCTGTGACGTCAGAGCGCTCACGGGGTCGCTGAGAGTGTGTGAGCGTGTTCTGGCAGGGGGCTGCGTTCCTTAAGGTCTTTTTCTTCATCTGTCACATCCACGTTACGAAAAACAAAAATAGTTTCCAACGCTGGTTGTACCTTTGTCGTCCACAGCGTTTTCGGGCGCCTAAGTGCCAGAAAAGATTTCATTTTGCGCCCTGAAATCCATGGGCCCCTTTCTTAAGCTTTCAGCTCACGCCTGTTTAGATGGATTCAGTTCCGTGGGCTAGGAATGCACTAACCGTCCTCTGCCAGGCACCAGCGGTGTAACTATAATGCCCTCTGGGTGTGTATGTTGCTGTGGTTCCAGCTGTATGTGTACATGTCGTCTGCAGAGTTCTTCGTACCTGCTGCTATTCGACAAAACACCCCATCAAAGTGTGGTTAATAATGCAGGTTTAAGAAAATCTTCACTTCTTTCTTTCCCTGTCGATGGTAGCGCAGGTATCGGATCGCGTGTTGTTCAAAACTAATTGTTTCTTTACATAACCTAATGAGTATTTAAAAAAAATATATATTTTAAACGTATAAAGGATTTACAAATAAAAATCCAACCCCAGGATCAGAAACAGGTACAAGAGCAAAAAAAAAAACAACAACAGTTAACTGCTGGAGATAATGAAGTACATTATGTGATCAAGTTGTATTTTTTACATATATCAAATGTTTTCCTTCAGCATTTTTCAAAATTTCTATCGAATTTAGTTTAAACTGCACCTCAAAAGTCCTAAAAAGGGTGGTATTATTAGAACATTCTGATTTATGAATGTGAAATTTACCCAAAATGACTAATGCATTTATTCTCTTTTCCCAAATTTTATATTAAACAGTACCATAAAATATAAAAACCCCTAAGTCTCAAAAGCACCTTTAAAAGCACATTGGTGGTGATGGAGGGGAGTCCCCATTACCTGTAAAGCGCTTTGAGTGGAGTGTCCAGAAAAGCTCTATATAAGTGTAAGCAATTACTATTATTATCATTATTATTATCATTATTATTATTATTATTATTATTATTATTATTATTATTATTATTATTATTATTTAACTGCCTGCAAACAAAACCCTGCAAGTCCGTCCAAAACAACTTCACAAACACACACCTAACAAATAAATGCACCAAAGATTTCCCTTCAGCCCTACAAAACACACACAAATCATCCTGCTCCGGCTTAAATATAGAGAAAATTTAGGGTAATGTGTCCCAATTTTGCCGTAGGTGTCGCCATGAAAAGTCGTTTGGCAATTCGACGTGCGCTGGTTGCCGTGTATTACGGTCAGGGCCTGCGCGCTGAGTGACGTCAGCTAAAGCCGACCGGATATCCGCCCGGCTGCTGCCCTTGAGCTCGGGAGACGGAGATCGAGGTGCTTGACAATGGTGGCGTACTGGAGACAAGCGGGCCTCAGGTACGGCGGTCGTTCTTCAGCTTGTCCTGCTCGTGTTGAAGTTTATTCTTGCTCCAGTCGGGGCGTCGGGTTATGTTTGCATGGTATTTCGCGCTCGGCTTGCTTGAAGAGCTATAGAAGCCATCAGTGTAGCCCATTAGGTTCTCAAATGACAGTCTGCATGATGGATCCCGGACTAAAGACACATAGCCAATTTATGTTGGATTGTGACGGTCTGACGGTGGAAACTCGTCTTGCACACTGGGGGGGAAGCGACACTGGTGTAGTTTCCTCTCAAGAATATTTTTTAATAACTTTCCCGAGTGTCCCGGCCTGCTTGGACTGCCGAGCGAGTGAGAGTCTGTAACATCACTGCCTCATGACTCGCGTCTTAACTGTCTCACCGCCTTACATTAGGCTTGATTTTCGACTGGAAGTGTGTATATGTAGTTGTTGCATAGCAAAAGTTTCCATTCTGTTTTTATTTAAAATAGAAACCGTCCACAGGGGAGGTCCGCTGTCAGGAGAAAGATGCATTAAATGACTTCTGATAGGATTGACTTTATTGCAATGAAGATTGAGCCCCAATTGATGCATTTTGCTGGTAGTCAAAATCAGGTTATATTGTAGTTGAACACTATGTCCCCTGCTTAGGTCCTTATGCTGTCCTCGGCATTTAATGTTATTCTGCTAACAGCCCGGTTGCCGGTTGCTGGTTGGATACGTGAACTGATGGCCCTTCTTTTTTTTTTTTATATCGTCTGCAGCTACATCCGCTTCTCGGCGATATGCGCCCGGGCGGTGCGAGCGGCTCTCAAGCCGCAGCTCCGGCTGGAGGCGGAGAAGGTGGCCGAGTCCAACGTGAAGATCACCCGGCTCAAGCAGGCGGCGTCGTGTGAGTGCGCTGCGGGGCTGTCGTCTGCAATCCTCTGGCTGCTCCTGAAAGGGGTCACGCTATGAGCCCGGCCTCAATCAATTCTTTCCTTTTTTTTAAATTATATAATGTTAGCATGCCCACATGGGTTGGGCAGCCAGTTGACCTTGGAGCCCTAAAGGCTTTTTTTCCCTCCTTACTGAGGAGTTTTTGGTTCCTCTCCTCCGTTGTCTTCTGGTCTTTTCTGTTCTGTGTTCGCAACACGTATGGTCACTTGCTTTATTAAGCGCCTTGGGGCAACCTTGTCGTGAAAGGTGCTATATAAAAAAAGTAAATTGAATGGAATTGACCTTCTGGTGCACAGTCCAACTGCAGAAAGCAGAGACAGAGCAGGTTAGCCCTTCCAGAGTGAGCTGTGCTCGCGTGCTCCAGCTCTGAGCCCCCACTGTTCGGCTGAGGAAGGCGGGTTGGAAGGTTACAAGCTTTTTCTTGTGTTCATTAATTTGTGGGGGGGGTGGGGGTGGTGATGCCAAATATTGTCCAGCGATCTAGAGTCCATTTCCACACTGTTCTGCGCTTAATCATGGCCCGTTACTGATCCTGCACTGGGCACATAATAGTTCAAGATTGTGGTTAGAGGAGACTGGTGAACGTTTCTTTGAACCACTGAAATTCATTCGAATTTGACTGAAGCTTTTATCCAAAGCGACATGCATCTGCTCCCGGCCGTACTGTTCCAGTCGCAGGTGAGACACTTCACTTACTCCAGCGACATCTCACTTGGGTTTCAAACCCAGAACCATAAAGGTCCAGGACCACAATCGCACACTGATCCACACTGCTGTTTTCTCTCTCTTTTTTTTTGCCCCAGGTGGTTTTAGGACAAGTTTGTCGCATCAGAGTAGCTTTTACTGCAGTGGAGGAGGATTCTGAAGGCACTGGCTGTGCACTGCCCTCTCTTTGCAGAGAATCTTGCTTTTCATCTCACCCCACAGGCCTGAAACCAAGGGGAATGGTAGCTCTGTATAAAAAGATGAGTGTGATTTTCCTTTCTTGCAGGACCTGGATGAAGAACCTGTATTAAGAAGCCTGGAATGAAGACTTTGCTCCAGTCCTGTCTTTTGTTTTTGGAAGAGAATTTGTTTTGAAAATTACATTGTATGTAAGATAACTCTAGACCAAAAGTGATGTCATTAGTATCTTCCTCTGTCCATCTGGTCGATGAAATAAAATACCACCCAATCAGTTACCTCCTGCCCTTTCTTCCTCTTTTCATTGCCTTTACTACTTGTGGACACCGGAGGGCGATGTTGGCCTCCTTTGGCTCAAGGGGTTTACACAAGGCTCTCTCATGGGCTTTTTGGATAGATACTTGATCTGTTTACAGACTTGTATGTTGTTTTTCACATCTGCTTGAGAGGCCTTACAGTTTTTTGCAAATATATTTAAAACAACAACAACACAAGGTATACAATTCTAGATATAACATGAAATAGTTTATAAAAGCAAAGCATTGTAATTCTTCAACTGGAAGAAGGCTGAGAAAAAGCCAGAGGGATTAACCTGATATTAGCATTGATGCCTGAAGTCCGAGTGTCTTTGTAAGCTCTGGGGTCTTGTAAAATGGAATGAAAATATGTTTCTAGCGGTGGTGTTTTCCACAGAAGGCCAGCAAGGCTCAGCCTGGTCAGTGCTGGAATGGGAGGAAACCCAGATGCTGCAGGACGTGGTGTAGGAGAACCAGTAGATGGTGCTCTTCCCTGGACCACTGGACCAGACTTCACAAGCTTGTGCTCCAGTATGGTAACTGGGGACACTGTTGTAGGAGGGGGGCTCCTTTGAATGAGACCTTAACCCAGCCTCTCAGCTGCATGCTCAGAAAGTACGTTTAGTTCTATATATAAAGTACTTTTGATCTTTTGTGATAAAAGAAGGCTCTCTCTGTGCATCTTAACTTGTGAGAATTTATGTACAACAGCTGAAGCAAATTAATATAGATGACTACATCAAAGCTTTCTCTTCTGTGACGCTGGGTGGGGCTGTTTGTCCTTCAGACGTTTGCCTTTGTCGAGTGTTTTTGTTCGAGGGTGAAGAAACCGGCAGCCTCGCGCGTGTGTGTGCTTATCTGCGTGTGTGCAGGGACTGGTCCTGTGCAATCTCTTCCCCTTCATGCAGGCGCGCGGGGTGTGGTGATGTTCTTTCTTGCTGAAGTTCTCCCTCGGGCCAGTGGAAAAGCCACAGTCTAAGAGACAGAACCCAGAGGAAACTTTGGGTGTTTCCGTGGACTCGTGTTTGGCAGACTGCAGCTGATGTCAGATGCATGTTCATTTAATGTCCTCTTCAGAAAATTCCACCCGTGTTGGCTAGGAATGGACAAAAGACTCCAGAACCATAATATAGTCAATGGAAATGTTTAGTATTCTGCATGCAAAATTCAGGCACTAAAAATGATCACAACTTAGATCTAAGAAAGAAGAAAATCTTTTAGCTGCTCTTTTTGTTTAAAAAAAAATAGCGATCTCGGAAAAGTACGTTTCTAAAAAAATATTTCAAATTTAATCCAAAAGCGAATGAGCACCTTTTTAATGATGTATAATTACTACTTCCTTTGTGCTAAACAACACATTGTAAGTTTATTATACAGGTGTATATACAATTGTTTGAAACATAGCTACAGGCTCAAAGTTATTAAGGAGAATTCAGTGTAAGAAATGCTTTTTGGATCTATGTAGCTTAGATACGAAAAGATCTTTGTATCTATTCTTATTATATTGCTCTTCAATGGTACTGCCTACTGACATTTAAACCTAGCACTTTCTGTCAGTCTAGGGCAGCTGCTGTGCTACCCTGCTTGGATCAGTTATCCTCTCTCCCAGAGTACAATCTACACACAGCAGGTGGGTGACTTCCCTAGAAAACTTTGCATATTTCCACGTAACATATTACATAATGTAACATATGATGTTATCCCACACCAGCCTACTTGGTGTAGACTAGGGTCACTAAGAGCTACAGGGTTTTCTGATTGGAAGCACATTCTAGCACTCTGATACCTAATTGAACCAATTAGTGAGTAAGTCAAGACTAACGAAGCCACCAATTAAAGGACAGGGGTTGAGGAGCTCGGGGGCTGGAAACTCACTGGCAAGGACACAAGCACATAGAGACTCGCCAAGTGCTAATTCACACAGACAGCCAAACACAAAGCAAAACTTGCTGTAATAAATAGTCAAGGAGCAAGCCGAGCAGGCAGAATACCCCCCCCAGGTGGGGGTTGCTTATTTCTGGGCTTAAAGTTCGAAACACTGTGGCGTTGGGGTACCAGCACCAAGCCAGCAGGGCTCTTGTGTCTGCTGGCATTCATTTCAGCTGATGTACCGAAGAGCAATTAACATCTGACTGCAAAGGAACTCTTAAATGCCAGTGATGAAGCAGAGAAAGGCGTTAATTAAATTCTAGGTTCCAGGAGATTGGGGAGCAGATGGAAATAAATAAAAACAAACACAGAAGACACAGTGGTGGCTGACATTCTGCACCAGCTCATTCATCACCTCTGCCCTCCCAACTCCACCCTCAGTGTGACTCCCTGTGTTACCTAAAGTGGCTCAAAACTTTGCGACTCCATCCTGCATTCCCATCCCCAACACCAAATCCCTGACATAAGTCCTATTGGATAAAACTCCCACTGAATATACAATATAGCAATATTCCTGTTGGTCCCGGTCTCTTGTTTATTCAGTCCCCTATATGTCCTCCACCTCCGTCTGTGCTAGCCCCTGTCCACCCTCTTCCTCCCCCTCCTCCTCCTCTTCCTCCCCCTCCCAGTCGAGGTCTGCCGTGGCGTCCTGGTACTGCTGGTACTCAGACACCAGGTCGTTGGTGTTGCACTCGGCCTCGGTGAACTCCATCTCGTCCATGCCCTCTCCGGTGTACCAGTGCAGGAAGGCCTTGCGCCGGAACATGAGGGAGAACTGCTCCGAGATGCGGCGGAACACCTCCTGGATGGCCGTGCTGTTGCCGATGAAGGTGGAGGCCATCTTGAGGCCACGGGGCGGGATGTCGCAGACGGCCACCTTGACGTTGTGCGGGATCCACTCCACGAAGTAGCTGCTGTTCTGCTGCTGCATGGCCAGCATCTGCTCGTCCACCTCCCTGGTGGACATCCGGCCGCGGAAAATGCCCGCCACCGTGAGGTAGCGCCCCCGGCGGGGGTCGCAGGCCGTCATCATGTTGCGGGCGTCGAACATCTGCTGGGTGAGCTCGGGCACGGTCAGGGCGCGGTACTGCTGGCTGCCCCGGGCCGTCAGCGGGGCGAAGCCGGGCATGAAGAAGTGCAGGCGGGGGAAGGGCACCATGTTGACCGCCAGCTTGCGCAGGTCGGCGTTCAGCTGCCCGGGGAAGCGCAGGGAGGTGGTGACGCCGCTCATGGTCAGCGACACCAGGTGGTTCAGGTCGCCGTAGGTGGGCGTCATGAGCTTGAGCGTGCGGAAGCAGATGTCGTACAGCGCCTCGTTGTCGATGCAGAAGGTCTCATCCGTGTTCTCTATCAGCTGGTGGATGGACAGGATGGCGTTGTAGGGCTCCACCACCGTGTCGGACACCTTGGGCGAGGGCATCACGCTGAAGCTGTTCATGATGCGGTCGGGGTACTCCTCCCGGATCTTGTTGACGAGCAGCGTGCCCATGCCCGAGCCCGTGCCGCCACCCAGCGAGTGCACGAGCTGGAAGCCCTGCAGGCAGTCGCAGCTCTCGCACTCATTCCGCACCACGTCCATCACGCTCTCCACCAGCTCCGCCCCCTCCGTGTAGTGCCCCTTGGCCCAGTTGTTCCCGGCGCCAGAGTTCCCTGCAGACCAAGAAAACAGAGCCGCCGAATGAATCTCCCCGACCGACAGTCCTCCATACCGCTCGATGCATGCTGCGTCTGTTGCCTTGTACCGCCATCCTCGCTCAGTAGAATGGCCATTCCCAATGGGAGGCGATTTCCTTGATGAGTAAAATCCATCCGCGTTCAGTCCTGGAAGCTTTATCCTGGAAGAAGATCGCGGCGAGACAGAGCCTCTCCAGGGAGGTGCAGGACGCTAGGGGGGACCACACCCTGGATGGGTCACCAACCCATTAACTCAACCACATGTACTGGGGGCAATTGAGAGACACCATCTAAACTGACCAGAGCACTGGGTCTGGCGGAAGCCAAAGGCTTTATAAGCTTAATAACAGCTTCTGAAAAGGAGGATAAAGAGCACAGCAATGACACTGGTACCCGCTGGATACAGCAGTCAGCAGGGAGCCTGCAATGAAAGCTCTGTACGGCCTGCCTGCATGAGTGGAGTCACACTGGCTCACCATGGATGAAGTTGTCTGGTCTGAAGAGCTGTCCTATCCGGCTGCTCCTCACACTGTCCATGGTCCCGGGTTCGAGGTCCACCAGCAGGGCTCTAGGGACATACTTGCCGCCTGAAGTTGCAAGACGGGAAACACTTACTTCAGACACGGAGTGGGTCTGAGTCTTCATCTAGCTCTCTGTGGTTTTTGATTACAGTATCGTTGCCTAGTCTATCAGTCTGGAACTCCCAACACAAGGACGGAGTCACTCTTCCTCACCCAGCATTGTTATCATCAGCATATGAAGCACTATGGGAAGCTTTGGGAAATGCTTTTATGAAAAATGGAGAATGAAAATCCAGTAGCAGGCATTTCATTTCAAGCTACTAAAATGTAAAAACAGGGAAAGAATGCAAGATATATCTTGTCTGTCCTGTCTTGCGGGTGAGGTGTGTGAATGCACTGTCTTCCAATGGCTACACAGAAGCAAAAGTACTTTAATTGTTTGACTTCTTCTCCAATAAAAGAAATCAAGATGACTGCAAATTAAACAACTGACATGACATGATCTTTAGTGTCTGAAAGACCTAGGATCACAGATGGAAATAAAGATGCGATGCATTTAGGCTTCAAAATAGGAAGTCATTCTTTCACAAGGAGTTGTGAGAATGTACAAAAAATTTATAGACCAAACACTCACAGGTGTAACTCTGTGATTCTTTAAGAAGTGATGAGAATTTTGGACCGATTAGCCACATAAGCAAGATTTGATTAAGCAAGGTAGTTAAGCTACCTCCTACTTTCAGATTGCTGTGATTTCAGCTACTCCAATGATATAGCAGGATCCTGACTGGGACCCAGTGTTTCAGGGGCTGAAAAGGGGGGGTGCTTGTACCATGTGCCTCATTGAAGTAGACATTGAGTCTTTCCAGCTGCAGGTCACTGTCCCCTTGGTAGGTGCCCGTGGCAGTGATCCCATGCTCATCGCTGATCACCTCCCAGAACTGTGAGCGCACACAGAGACACACACTGGTCAAGCACTTACAACACCAACCCAATGTGCCACAACGTATTTAGTCACAGAAAAGCCTCACCTAGCTCAAAAAGCAGAGGGGAGTGCATAAAAGATGCATTGCATGCACTGTGTATGTGACAGACTGCCTGAGGCCCACTATCTCTTTCACACTGCTCCATGCACTGGGGGTGATGCAGCTCTAGAGGTCGGGCTCGGAGTCAGCCAGTGTACCAGCTCTAATCAAGCTTTCTCTCTGTGCACTTTCTAAAGCTCCTTGACTCTCTCACTGTTACCCCCTCCTGACGGACTGCGATGCCTCCCTTTTCCCTCCCTCGCCCTCACAGCAGTAACTATCTGAGTCACACTTCTCCCCCTTATCTCCGGACTCTGGGGTGGGGGCTGGGTAAGATACACCCAGCGTCACCCAAACTTTAAAGAGACAGTTTGCATGCCCTTACTTAGCTCGAATGCAAATATGTTTAAAAATACCCCCTTTCTGTCCTGTTGTTACAAACGCCATTTGCATACAACTCAGAGCTTACATTGCATTTCGTTCTATCGCTGTTTCTGCTAAGGCTACATTTTCAGGATTTTGAATGGAAGAGCAGGGTTCGTTTTAAAAAATGAATTCTCTCAGAAGCTGGAGCCTGGCATGCTTCGATTGTCATTTATTTTTATAATGAATATACAAATATCATTTAAAATAAAATAATAACCATAATACCACATGAAGCAGATTATTTGAAATAACTTTAGTACAAATGTAATTACTAAAGACTTATACGCGTATCTGAGGTTTATTTCTTTATAATATAGGGTTATGCTTTAGGTTGAGTTTATCCTGCTGTAATTCTGGATGTCTTGCTTAAGTTGCTGTGCTGATGATGCCATACCTACAGTAGCTCTGAAGCACTATTTGACTTGACTCATAGTCAAAAATAAGTTAAAACTTAGACAAGAGCTCTTTCAAAATTATTTCTGTAATATGTGTAATTGTGTTTTTAAAAGCCACTTTCCTGGAGGAGTATATATTTCTATTTATTTAAACATATCTCACATTTTTCAAGCAAGCAAATTGCCTCTTCACCTTCCTGCCTGGATGAAGCAGACAGACAGACGCACAGATCTCTTACCTTGGACCCGATCTGATTCCCACACTGTCCGATCTGCAGGTGGACGATCTCGCGCATTGTGAGGAGTGCGGCAGGACACTGAGACACAGGCTGAAGGCAGACGAGTCTGAAACACAGCTCGCGGTCCAGACATGCCTTATATACTGCCGCTGATGTCACTGGCAGGGAGGGTGAGTCCACCTCACACAGCCAGCACGTGAAGCACGCTTGCACACACAACGCAATGACAGGTTCACTGGTGACAGGCGTGAAGCGAGCTTTTCTACACACTGCACATTTTAACACGACAGTGCAAGACACCAGCAGGGAGCCTCATTCTGCCCCACAGACAGAGAAGAGTGCATAGCGATTCTTGTACATTCTCAAAAGATCTCTGCTATTTTCTTCTTGTGACATTTTCTGACAAATACTTTCAGTTATTCCGCTTAGGAGAGACTTCTTAGGAGGAAACCGGCTTGAAACTGGAAATCAGTGTTATGTTTAATGAGGCCCAGAGGTTCATTAGTGCTCTTACCTGAGCCCCAGTGGGTTATGGGTGTCATGAGGGTCGCTCACATTGGGGCGCCCTCAGGACAAGCTCCCAGCCTGCAGCCCTTATCTTCAGCTGTTTGCATGTGATCGAAACACGCTTCTAAACTACTGCTGGTTCTTACATTTGGAACTTTGCGATGCATTCTCTAATGAGGCTCCACGGCCGAAACGTTGTGTTTTCTTTCTTCTCTTTTCAGCATGGAATAAACGTATTACTTATTCTCTAATAACGCTGACAGATAGAAGCTGAGGATACTTGGTAAAAAAAGCGTGTTTAAAATCCCCTCATCCCCGGACATCACCCCGCAGTCCCCTCAGACGCCACCAGGGCAGGGGGACACGTCGCTCACAGAGGGGACGCTTTCACGCCGACTGTGCCCTTATTTGGACTTGTCATGCAGATGCAGCTCGGGAGATCTATCTTTCAGCACAGCTGCACAGCTCATTTCTCGCGGGGACGGAGATGGGGGTTGTGGTGAACGGGATTCGCCGCTCTGCCGCACAGGAAGCGGGACAGTGGCGACGCGGAGCTCTGACGGGGCTCAGTCTGCCAGCGTGCTGCCTGACAGACACGAGACACAGCCGCTGGCTCACCGGGCCCTCTTGCCAGCATTATTATTATTATTATTATTATGCACAATCGCAGTGCGGTGGCTCTCCGGCTCAGGATCTGCGCCTGTGGCTGGAAGGCTACTCCGTCGGGCCCCTGAGCAAGGCCCTTCACCCCAGCTGCTCCAGGAGTGCTGTACAACGGCTGACCCTGCACCCTGACCCCCAGCTGGGGTATGCGAAAAGACAAGTTCCAAATACAAGAAGTTGTATATGGCTAATAAAGTGATCTTATTAAACAACTTTACTTTATAGAGCACTATTTATATTCAAACTACCAAAGTACCATACAGAAAACTTGACAAATCAGCACAGGATGAAATTTAACACCAGACACCAGAATTCTGACTTAAAAAGCAGAGGCAACAGGTAGGTTTGGGTGTGGTCTTGAGCCCGACAGAGACTCGCTCATCCTGATCTCGCCGGGGAAGGTGTTAAGAGTTAAGAGTGAATTAAGAGTGCCAGCGACAGATGGTCTTCCGACCTAGCGCTACAGTCCCGAACAATGGTAAGACGTCTGGTTATCGGACAGAAACGACGGGCCCTGTGTACGCGGGTGTGGGGGTGACTGAGCTGAAATCCTTCAGGGTCTCAAAGCCGAGGCCCCGGACGGGCGGCGGAGAGGAAACCGGCGGAGGGAGCCGCGCGCCCCAGCGGCGGCCGGCCGATAACCCGCCCCGCGCGCCTTATCTGCGTGGGCCAGCACTCCCGTCCCTCTGACAGCGTGGGGCCGATCCCGGCAGCCCCCTCCCGCAGGGGTATGTCGCAACAGGAGCGGGGCTCCACTTCCCAAAGCAAGAAGTGGAGAGCTCTTATCTGCGCTGTATCACACACACACACAAAAATCTTCATTTTCTAAATTCGTTCGGGGCTTTAAGATAAGAGTGGAGTCTCTTACACATGATTGCAAACACAATGGCCACATGCTGAACATCTATCAGACTGCTGTGTCCCAGCTCCAGACCTCCTACAGTGCTTTTGCCTTTATGATATAGAAAAAGCTCAATTTTAAAAGCATTAAAGATGCAGAGCAGACGAATGGGTGTGACATAGAGCTACCGTTACAGTGAGTGACTTCACCGTCTTTAATGAAAAGGAGAATATACTGTATATTAATAATTACCCTTTACATTCGCATATTTGCCTTAAGTAAGTCCGTGCAAGACGTGAAATGCTATTAATAATAAAGTCAATAAATTCTTCAGTAACAGCGGTTTTATTAACATGGATGATCACTAAAGTTCATGACAAGCAATTTAATTATAAGAAAGATGCATGCACTTGATTGTTCAGTCTGCAAAATCAGCAGATTACTCTCTAAAACAGGTGGTGTTGGAAGAGTCTTTTATCCCTACAGTCTGTTGTTACTGGCATTGCAAGGTTTCTAATATGTTTCAGCCTGATTAAGGCGGAGCACATTAGAAATACTGACCACCCCTTAGATTGTATGACAAGAAAAAAGCAAACTTTTGTCAGATTTAAAAGTTATTTTTTCTTCCAACGGTGCAGGCAGAGACCTTTAAGGTCCGCTGTAGAGGACAAGCAGTGTCGTGACTGGCTGGACAGGTCAGCAGGGACAGCTAAGCCTGACCTTTCAGGTGGAAAGTGTCTGAAAGTGTTTCAGCTCTTTGCCGTCCCACACTGACTCTCGATGCGAATGTTATTACATATCGCCCCCTTGTGGACCAGTGAATAATCGCAGGCCGTGTTCAGGAAGATCTGCAGTTAAGCAAGACTGTTGCACCCCGAGAGCCGCCTAAACAGATTTGTGCTTTTGTTATATTTATATATTTTAAAAAAGGCATGGATGAAAATACTGAGTTCTCACAGAAATGTCCACAGCTTTCCTCTGATGCACTCTTTTGGTGGTCTTATCTGCTGCTGAGCGACCACAGACAAAATCCGGGATGAACTGCTCCAACAAAGTCTCTCTCCTGTGGGCCAGGATGCTGTGAACTGAGTCTGATTCCCAGGTTCAAAGGTCTGCTTCTGCTGGTAAAGAAAACACTGTAGTTCGAACATCAAGTCTTCGGGCCATTCGTTCACTATCGTGTCGCCCGATCTTGTCAGAAGCTAGGCAAGGCTGGGCCTGCTCAGAGTGGGGTGGGAGACCTCCCAAGACAACGAGGTTTCTGCTGTAAGGGGTGTTGCTGCTGTGAGTGCTCTCTCCTCGGGGCCAGAACTGGACAGGACCGGGGTGAGAGCAGGGGTGTGAACACCGGTGTCCCAGGTAAGCTCCGCCCTGAGCTTGTGTATCAAATTAAACTGCTGACTCGCTCCTCCCCCCGCCCTGCTGTGTAGTGAAGCTGCTGGTGCGTGATGGGTGTCCCTCCTATCCACAAAAGCAATTAGGGATTCTTTGGGATGAAAGGTGCTATATCAATGACACAGAATTACCACCACCAAAGGACCGCAATTCATCAGTCTTTCCCTGCTCCCATTCCCTCCTCCTTCTCGTCTGCTTTTACCTTACTTTATCATTATTAACTATAAATACATGATCACGCAGTGATTCGGCACCCACGGGTGAGGGGGTGCCTGCGTGTGCGTGTCCTGCCCTGCAATCGGCTGGTATCCCGTCCGTGGTATAATCCTGACTTTTACTCCCTGTCTCCTGGGTTAGGTTGGGATTTGCTTGTGGCTGGACGTGTTTGGCAGTTTTAACAGTCTCCTCCTCCCTCCCTTTGGAACTGCAGAATTCCCTTCTCCCGTCCTCTGCCCGGCCCCCTCATTTCCTCCCCTCCCCGCGCCTCCTCAGCTGCCCCCCCTCTCCCTCGTCATCTTGATCATGGTCTCCGGGGAGCGGTAGAGGAAGATGAGCTTGGCGAAGAGCTGCTCCTCCAGCTCGAGCTCGCCCGTCTCGCGCACCACGAAGATGTCCGTGCACAGCTTGAGCACGCGGTCCACGCAGGGCAGCTCCTCGAACATGATGGAGCGCGAGATCCCGTTGAAGAACTCCCGCACGAACTTCCCGATCACCAGCACCACGGACATGTACAGGCCCACAATGCTGCAGGGGAAAGACGAGGAAGCAGCGGGGCGGAGGCAACCGATCGGGGGGGAGAGAGGGGAAGGGGAGTTGCCGAATGAAGGAACAGGAGAGCCGGAGGGTGAGAAGGAAGAACGGGCAAGAAAGCAGGAAACAGGAGATTTGCAGGAGGGATGAAGAAAGAGAGGAAGAGTGAAGGATAAGAAAACTGGCAACACGTGACCTAACCTTTACGGCAAGCATCACCTGGACAAGTGGACTGAAATCGCTCTGACACGGTTTTGGAAGGGAAAGCAGCGGGCTGGCGTCTCTTACCCGTATCCTGCCAGGAAGCCCAGGCTGGAGGGGCTGACCTTGTCGTTGAAGACGACGATCTCAATGCTCTGGCAGCCGGCGGGCGCGCGGCCTGGCGGGCACTCCTGCACGACCCACCACTGCGGCACCTGCCCCCCCGGCTCGCTGGAGCTGGCCCGCCGCAGCCCGATCGCCACGGGCCGGAGCGCGGCCAGGGTCCGGGGCTCCTCGGTCCCGTTCGAGTGAGCTGCAGGGGGGGCACACAGAGTCAGGGCAGGGGCCTGCGAGCCCCTGGGGCGTACGAGTGGAGCTGCACAGCCCGGCAGAGGGACACACCGTCCCTCCACACAGACCCTGAAACCCCTTGAGCAGCGCAAGAGCGCCGCGCTGCCAGGAGCAGAAACCAGAAGGAACACGATCACCGCGACACAGGCTTGCAGCTGCCTAGATCCGATCGAGTGGCACTTCACCTGCAAAGATGAGCTGCACCGTTTGCAGTGAGCAGCACTTTAACTGCGAGACAGAACTTCCTGAGACACATGGTACTTGCTGTATTGACAGAATGGCATTCACAGCCCTTTGCTCAGATAACACATTTTGCTGCTCTTTTCTGTTACGAAATGATTCCAAAACTATGCTGAGGCGAGATCCCAAAACTCAGTTTTCTAGTATTGGACAGGCAAGGCAGTACTGCTGGTT